GTAGATGCTGTGGTCTCAGAGGCACTTGTCCCTGATGTGGAAGCTGAAAGAGATGAGGAGGTTGCCTCAGGCGTTGGAGTAGATGAGCTGGTATCAGTAGAGGTAGCCTCACTTGCAGTAGAAGTCATAGAAGTGATAGCTGAAGATGTTGATCCATCCGTGGAAGTTGACAGGGCTGTGGTAGTGTCACTCACAGTTGGACTAGGTGTACTTGTCCCAGTAGAAGTTATGGAGGTGGTAGTGTAAGAGGTACTTGTCCCTGCTGTAGAAGTTGAAAGAGATGTGGAGGTTGCTTCAGATGTTGGAGTAGATGAGCTGGTATCAGTAGACGTAGCCTCACTTGCAGGAGAAGTCATAGAAGTGATAGTTGAAGATGTTGTTCCATCAGTAGTTGTTGATAAGGCTGTTGGAGTGTCACTCACAGTTGGGGAAGGTGTAATTGTCCCAGTAGAAGTTATGAATGTGGTAGTGTAAGAGGTACTTGTCCCTGCTGTAGAAGTTGACAGAGATGTGGAGGTTGCCTCCGATATTGGAGTAGATGAGCTGGTATCAGTAGAGGTAGCCTCACTTGCAGTAGAAGTCATAGAAGTGATAGTTGGAGATGTTGTTCCACCAGTAGTTGTTGATAGGGTTATTGGAGTGTCACTAACTGCTGAAGTAAGTGTACTAGTCCCATTAGAAGTTGTAGTTGCTGTGGTCTCAGAGGCACTTGTCCCTGATGTGGAAGTGAAAAGTGATGAGGAGGTTGCCTCAGGCGTTGGAGTAGATGAGCTGGTATCAGTAGAGGTAGCCTCAGTTGCAGCAGAAGTCATAGAAATGATAGTTGAAGATGTTGATCCATCCGTGGAAGTTGACAGGGCTGTGGTAGTGTCACTCACAGTTGGAGCAGGTGTACTTGTCCCAGTATAAGTTATGGAGGTGCTAGTGTAAGAGTTACTTGTCCCCGCTGTAGAAGTTGAAAGAGATGTGGAGGTTGCCTGAGATGTTGGAGTAGATGAGCTTGTATCAGTAGAGGTAGCTTCACTTGCAGTAGAAGTCATAGAAGTGATAGTTGAAGATGTTGATCCATCCGTGGAAGTTGACAGGGCTGTGGTAGTGTCACTCACAGTTGGAGAAGGTGTAATTGTCCCAGTAGAAGTTATGAATGTGGTAGTGTAAGAGGTACTTGTCCCTGATGTGGAAGTGTAAAGAGATGTGGAGGTTGTCTCAGACGTTGGAGTAGATGAGCTGGTATCCATAGAGGTAGCCTGAGTGGCAGTAGTAGTGACAGATGTTATAATTGAAGATGTTGATCCATCACTAGTTGTTGATAGGGTTGTTGGAGTGTCACTCACTGCTGAAGTAAGTATACTAGTCCCAGTAGAAGTTGTAGATGCTGTGGTCTCAGAGGCACTTGTCCCTGATGTGGCAGTGGAAAGAGATGTGGAGGTTGCCTCAGACGTTGGAGTAGATGAGCTGGTATCAGTAGAGGTAGTCTCAATTGCAGTAGAAGTCATAGAAGTGATAGTTGAAGATGTTGATCCATCGGTGGAAGTTGACAGGGCTGTGGTAGTGTCACTCACAGTTGGACTAGGTGTACTTGCCCCAGTAGAAGTTATGGAGGTGGTAGCATAAGAGGTACTTGTCCCTGCTGTAGAAGTTGAAAGAGATGTGGAGGTTGCCTCAGATGTTGCAGTAGATAAGCTGGTATCAGTAGAGGTAGCTTTACTTGCAGTAGAA